TCTCTTCTTCGGTGTTTCTCTCCCTGTATCTCTCTCTCGTTTCTTCTTCTGTGTTTCTCTCCCTGTATCTCTCACTCGTCTCTTCTTCTGTGTTTCTCTCCCTGTATCTCTCTCTCCTCTCTTCTTCTGTTTTTCTCTCCCTGTATCGCTCACTCGTCTCTTCTTCTGTGTTTCTCTCCCTGTTTCTCTCCCTGTATCTCTCTCTCATCTCTTCTTCTGTGTTTCTCTCCCTGTATCTCTCTCTCATCTCTTCTTCTGTGTTTCTCTCCCTGTATCTCTCTCTCGTCTCTTCTTCTGTGTTTCTCTCCCTGTATCTCTCTCTCGTCTCTTCTTCTGTGTTTCTCTCCCTGTATTGCGTTCTCATCTCTTCTACTGTGTTTCTCTCCCTGTATCTCTCTCTCGTCTCTTCTTCTGTGTTTCTCTCCCTGTATCTCTCACTAGTCTCTTCTGTGTTTCTCTCCCTGTATCTCTCTCTCTTCTTCTGTGTTTCTCTTCCTGTATCGCTCACTCGTCTCTTCAGATCGCGGTCTGGATCCGGATCGCGGTCTGCCTGTTACTGAACTATGGTTTAGAGCAGTGATTCCCAACCTGGGGGGCCAAAGATCGCAGTGTGGGGCGCCAGGCCTCAGATGATTTGAGGCCAAATATCATATTTAGATTTCTTTTATTTCACATATGATTGTAACGCAATACAGGATTGTCGCTAAAAGCCTCGTCTCTACATTACAATAAAATGTAATTTTTTTTGGGATTAATTACATTTTAATAAAAATCCAAGTTAGTAGTTATTAAAGGCATAAAAAGACAGAAATGTATAATTCTTTCTTTAATAGAAATGTTTCTTCTGCCCGTAAAATGTCCAAACCGGGCTTTCTGGATAAGCGCATTTTTAAAACAGTCATTGTCCATGCCGGTTTCAGTTGGATTATTTGTCACAGTTGCTCCGATCAGATCGGTCTCCTCCATTTTGTAGATTATTTACGACTTTTGAATCCACATAAACACATCGGCAAAATCCGGCTTACTTTGAGCATGTGTTTTAAATCAGTTTAATCCCTTTGTGAATTGTTTCCACTTGCGCCGTCCTTTAATTTCTTCATACAGCGGGAATCCAAATGAATTAATCCTGAGTCCAATAACCACCAAAGTCACTCCAATAGTGCTCCTTAATTACGCTTTCATCCTCCTTTAACAAAATACTTCACATTCATCCAGTTTGTGACAGTAGTTGTAGCATTTTTGAGACTTTGAAACTTTAATTACCGCTGTTGCGCGGTGGTTGGTTCTCACCTCTGTCTGGAGACATGGCCATCCTCTTACTGAGGGGGGAGCAGGGCCGCTCTTTGTCTGCAGGCAGGTACCTCTTCCTGCTGCCCTTATCTCCCTGCTGCTGCAAAACCAAACAATGCAAACAATGCAAATAAAGATACAATACATGCAGACAACTATAAATTCAACTTCGAAGTAATTTACAGGTAGCTTTTACAAAAAGCTTTCAGAGAAAACATGTCTGTAATTATGATTGTCAGTCGCTGATTGGAGGGACATATTTTATGGATTCAAAAGGCATTAAAAAGGTAATAAAACATAACTACCATCACCTCTCACTGTCACAAATAATACAATATCTTGCATTTTCCATCTTTTTAAAAACCAAAGTGTCACACAGACACCTTTTTCACTGGCAGCAGTGACTTCCTGGAGGGGACTGAGAAAGAAACAGATCCTTTAAAAAGAGAAAGTGAAGCGATAGAAACCTTGTTGAGGAGGGTGAGTTTGATGTCTTTGTGGGAACCTGAACCTCCATAGCTTCCTGGGGGGCCCATGGAGCCAGGTGGGGGATGTACATGGTGGCCCCCCCTGCTGCCAGGTCCTGACCTGGGCCCAGGGTGGCCCCCTCTTAGTGTGGCACTAGACGGGTCCATCTTCCTGCGGTCCTCTCTGAAGGGTTCCTCTTTTTTTGATGGTCTCTCTGTGATGAGGAAAGACAAATATGAGACCGGATGAACCTTCAAATGCTGATCATCAGTTTTATACCTCCCATTTACAGAAACATTGAAAATATAAAATAAAAAAAATTGTATACGTGCCATTTTTTGCTTCCCCCCCCCCATTGTCTAAATTTTGTTTTTGTACATTAAATACTTAAGTGTAAAGATGTGTGAAAGGATGGTGATACCCGTCTTAAAATCACAACTGTGATAAAATCACAACTTTTAATTTAATTATAGCATGCAAAACATACATTTTGAAGAATAAGTGTAAAATATGAACTGTAATGCCTCTGCAGCAGAGTTTGTAGAGCGTGTTTTCATTCACCGACTGATTTCAGCTGGTTTTTCATTCCACGCTTGTCCATTCTCTGAGTAGCGACCCATTCTAAAACGTATGATCCTTATGTTGTGCTGTTGTAGCAGCCTATCCCTCTGCCCTGCAGCACTCACCCCTGATCTTGTCTCTGCCTTGTGGAGGCCGGTCCCGCACCGGCACTCGCTCCTTGCGGGGGTGATTGGTGGTGGGGGAGTGGGAGCTGGCGGAGGACACAGGGCTGGCCAGGTCAGCATACATGTCGTCTGAGTCTGCACTGCGCACCGAGCTGCTGCTGGACGAAGCCGAGGACACGGAGGACACGCTGCTCACACTCAGAGATCTGAGGGAGAGACACAACATCCCGACTGAACTGCTGCTTCTCAGGGTACACTGTGTACACTGCACAACATGCACACATCTCTACACACACACCCTGAATAACAAATATCATACCTGGATTTCCTGGAGGGTTTCCCAATAGAGACAGCACATGAAAGCAAGAGGGGAAAACACAATACATCCATATTAGACCGTGTAATCACTACAACCCATTATATTTACATTTCAAATACCTTTATATTTTCATATTTGGATTGAAGACTGACAGTGACTGCCTTCACAATAATGAAACCAGAAAAAAAACTACAATTTTGTTGGAAGCAAAACCTAAAAGCGACCAATTATAGTGCAACTAAAACATTTTGCAAGAAATTTGGACTACGTGCCTAAAACTGTTATATTGCATTGCTCCCAATGCTAATATCATTAAGTAAATATTCATTGCAGTATCTGTTTTGTTGAGGAGTGCACGACAGCATGAGAGTGTATTGTGTCCGAATGCACTGCCTCACATGATCCCATATGTAAAGAGAATAAAGACTTGCTGCATAAATGCTTTGCAGTGAGAAGAAAAACCAAAGCAGAAGGGGATTCTGGATGTGAACATGTTTGTGGGTACAGTTCAACATGGGTTGTCTATTCTGACCTTGGAACTGTGTGGGGATGAGATTTGAAGTCTCACCAGTAGTATGTCAACTACTGTAACAATGTTTACCGTTGTTTGGCAACATCGTCAGCTGCTCCGGTTAGTCTCTCATCACCAATATGCCGCTTTCTGCTTTACTTCAGATATTTCTTGTTTCAGTTAACATCGAGTTCAATGCTGCAGTTGGTTGGAGTTCCTGTCTCTTGCTGCCTTAAAGGTGGGGTATGTAATTTATTTCAGAAACTCTTTTTGTTATATTCCATGGAATACTCCTAACATCCCGATAGCAATGAATATCTTAAATGCTTTGACAATAAATACATAAAATAATGTCATCTGTGGAAGCTGTAATACTGTAAAAAGCACGACCAATCATCTGAGCCGGCCCGGCTAAAATAACTGGATGGCCTACCTGCCTGTCAGCCTTCCATCTGTGCAAATACTTATCTCGTGCCCTCATTGGTCATGTGCGCGTTCGTGTGTGTTGGAGGAGGGGCTCTGTAAGGAAGTCTGAAGGAAGAGGAAGATTTTTTCCGGTTGTGAATTTTCTAATTCTAGCGCACTGCAGCTGGTTTCTCCAAAATGACATACCCCACCTTTAAAGAGTCAAATGTGTAAGTACATTATACTCCATAGATTCATAATTGTATCCAGCAACAATGTCTTAGTATGTGTGCCTTTTGGCATTATTAACGAATATCAATCAAAGCTGTTCTGCAAATAAAATTCTTTACAAGTCAAATACCATCTCACCGTTGTATTCCATCACCAGCCAGTTAAGTTGATACTAAAGTTGAAACTTTATTCTTATGATGTGGCCAAAAGGTGTTTTGTGAGGTCACAGTCACCTTGCCATTTACACCCCTCCAAATTCTAATTAGTTTATCCATGTCGAAGTTGGAATTAGTGCCAAATTTGAAGAAATCCTTCCAATTTGTTCATGTGGTGAGTATGGGACAAATGTGAGGTCACAGTGACCCTGACCTTTGATCACCAAAATCTGTTCATTCTCAAGTCAAACTGCACATTTAATGAAATCCCCTCAAGGCATTTCTGAGATTTCCCATTCATAAGAATGGGATGGAAAAACTGACATGTGGCCGACAGACAAACCGCTGCGGTGGAAGGATCAGAATAAATGCACACATAGATGCAATAAATGGTCATCAACATCTCTCTATAAAAAGGAGTTTTTTTTTCTCGCAAACTGCTGTTTTGATGACATAACGGTGTAACGGCGAGTACCTGGATTTTCTGGATCCGGAGCGTGAGCGAGATAGGGAGTTGGAGGATGATCTGGATCTGGAGCTAGAACCAGAATAACTGCTTCCACTAACACTTCCACTCACAGTTTGCCTGGAAGAGACAGACACTGAAGTGAGAACCCGGGAAGTAGTTCTAATAAAATCAAAACCAGGGTCTACTACCGATCTCTTTGTTCAGATATGATTACACATATCGGAAGGTTTTGATACCAAATGTCTTTACAAATAAAAGGAAATAACTCAATCAGCCACAATCAGGTCCCTGCTACTCTCGGTCAGAAACATCTGAAACACTAAGGTCATTCCCAAAAATGATTATTAGTTCCAAACCACTGTGGTCACATAGAAGAGCGTGGATGTTTTTAACAGAGGTCATTTGCTGTCAGTGAAGTTATTAGTGTTCCAAGTTAAAATTCATTTGTAAAACTTGAGAAAATAAACAGACAACTTTTATCCTCTATCATTTAATAATAACACGGCTAAACCACTGTACAAGAAACACCTATGGAAAGTTAATTTCAACAATGTGTGTGTCCATTTCAACATTTTGACACTGTCCAGCGGTTACAGTGTCAGTGTAAAGGTAGAACGGCACACAACAGGCACATTGGTTGTTGCTAGTGTTTAACCACAGAAAATGGTGATTTATGTTAGTATATCAAGCATCCATGACTTTCATCCAGTCCATAGATATAGCCTTAGTATATCCATATTTCATATCATTTTAGGCAGGAGAATAGCCATTTAGATTCCCAATATCTGATCAGTTTATCCAAATAATGCCTATTTGTTTCAGAGATGTGACAGACCCGCTGCTGGGTGCCATAACATATGGCCATCTTGCTTGAGTATACTTTAGGGTTAACAGTCCTTTAGTAAAATACGACTCCATTTAGTGGGAAGTACTTTGTAGTACATGCACATTGAGTAGGTAGACAGAGTATCATACTGGAAACCACTCAAAAGACAGGAAGACACTTCAAATATCTTCATAATGATACTCCATCCCACTTCTCAGGCCAGTAACAGGTATAAAATATAATATACATGTCAATCAGAAGGACGTGGTTTATAAACATAATAGCCAATAGGTGTAGGAACTGGTTTTCCAGGACAGTTTCGGTGGTGAGATCAACACACACACACACATGATTGCAGCGTCCAGGCAGCTCCCATTCGAGCACATGCCTTGAGTTGCACATAGCTCCAACGATCCAACACACACACACACACAC